CTTTACATTCTTTATGGATTTGTTAACAACTATAGGAGTCAAGTACTTGCATTCCATTATTGCCATTCCAATCCCTTCCAAAGGCCAACCTGTCCTGATTTAACTAGCAGGTCTGTGGAGGAGCTGGGAATTTAACCAGACAATATGGGTCCACATTCTACTCTCAATCAACGTAGTAGAGTTCAAAACCATGATTGATTTAACATGCACAGGAAGAGGGAGGAGTGGCCAGTGATATACCTCTTAATCACAAATTCTGTTCTTTATCCATCTCCAAATTGTTGGCTTTATCTCTTCACCACCTACTTAATTAATTTCACTTGCTTTCACTTCCCGGGGGTTCTTGACCTTGTTTTTTTTTTATGGGTCACCCCCATATTGTCCCACTCCTGGGGCCCTAGTCCATTCAGGATGCTATAATCAAGTGCTATACCCTGGGCAGCTGAGAAACATCAGACTTCTTTTTCCACAAAAGTCTAGAGGTTGGCCAGGCAGCGGTGGCACACACATTTAATCTCAGCACTCGGGAGGCAGAGCCAGGTGGATCTCTATGAGTTCGAGGCCAGCCTGGTCTATAGAGTGAGATCCAGGACAGGCACCAAAACTACACAGAGAAACCCTGTCTCGGAAAAAAAAAAAAAATCCCAAAATAAAACAAAACAAAAATGTCTAGAGGTTGAAGGGCAGATACCAGCATGCTCAGGGTCTAGTGCCCTCTTCTGGATTACAGACCACTGTGTTAATTTGTATTTTTATGTAGCCCTGAATAGACAGTGCAAGCAAGTCTCTGTGACTTTGAAAGGACCATGAATTATGAAATTATCACAATTTCAGTAAATTATCTCGTTTATGAAAAGTCCACATTTACAACATCCAAATGATCTCCCCCAGACCTTGACTTCTAATACTATCATACTGGAGCAGGATGTGGAGTTTCAAAATGTGACTTTTTGCGGGGGGCAGATGTTCAGTCCATAACAGTAGGCCAACTCTTTTGAATTTGTTGGAATTCAATGCAGGCTTCACTGTTCACAGTAAGCCTCTTGGGTTTCGTCAGTCAGCAATCTTCGCTTGATGCTTGCCTGTAGCACACACCGTTTTGATAGCTTACGACTTTTAAGATGGCTTCAAAAGCAACGCTCAGGTAGCATACGTTTGCTAAATGAGTGAGAACGGGGACTTCACCTCATCTGTACACCAGATTACTCGTGCTGTCTTCTCAAAGGGACCTGCTTTCGGGGTCCAGATCTGTCACTGTGAAACCCAGGCATTGTGTCACGTGGGACCTCAGCCTTCTTATTTTTCTCTTCTATCAGTTTGGGACTTCTAAAGGTTTCATTCAGTAAGAATTCTGTCTACTTAAGCTGTGCTGTGTCTTCTATACGTACCATCTGGTATTTCCTTCCATTAACCTCCCCTGCTTTTCACACCTAAGCAGGGCTGTGTGCAATTGTTATCTAACATGCCTGTTGTTGGGAGGGTCACATGGGGGCTCTGATGGTATGCATAATGTTTCTTAAGTTAAGAGTGAGTATAGAGGAGTATATAGTATTTAAATGCACTTAATGTCAAAATATTTTATAAAACATAGAAGGATGTTGCTTTTCTTTATGTTTTATAAAGATTTTTTTAAGTCAACCTTTCTATAAAAATATCTTGTGTTAGATATGGACACAGTCACACCAAATGGAAAGAAGTACCAGTTATTAAAACATGGATACATAGATAAAAACTATTATCCTGGCTGGATTCATATGACAGATGGAAACTAGAATCTTGCCTAATCTGTGGGTCCTCATGAATGAAGTCAATTAAGTTTGGAAAAGCTTTTTATTATGAGATAAAAATGCAATTAGTGCTGATAAAACCCTGGTGGAGACCTGATTATAAAGAAGCAACTGTGGATTTCTGGGAGTTGGCAACGGGGTGGGGTGGTTTATATTTTATCTTTTCTTTTCCAATATACGCAAATCTCTTACTGAGCAATTTCCAGGTTAGAGAACCTTCCTGAGCTGACCCCTACCAGATACTAACACACCCATGTCCAGGGACAGGATAGCTGGGTTGTGTCTAGGAAGCAAGCTGACTGGAGGACGGAAAGTGGCTGGCAGTGTGGATGTTTTTCTTTTCTTTTCTTTTCAGATTTGCATCCTCAAACAAGGATTCCATTGCTTCTTGCACCTCTTTCTGTAATGATGACGCCCACGGGGAGAAAAAGAAATGCTTTTCTATAGTTAAAAGTTTACATCAGTCATGCTAGTTAAATATCTGTTAAAACTGTCCTTAGTTTCCCCCAATAGATAAAGTTACAAGTTGACAAGGGTGAGAAAAATTCTCCCCCACTTGGTTGCTGTGAAATATATTTTTAAAGTGTCAGGAGAGGGAAGCTAGCTTTCAGGCTCACACAGAGGGCTTCTGTATTTCTGGTGCTGCACATAAAGTCCATTACCAGCAAGATGGCTGTTGAGTGTTCGGAGGGGACCTCTGACTCATCTAAAAACTAGGTCATACCCCACTGTGGCAAATAGCATTCCACAGATAAACTGGAACCATGAGAACCAGGCCCAAAGATTCTGGTACTAGTCACCTTACTACACAAAGGAACAGAATTTGGTAAAACCCCAGTGAAGAGAACGGCAAATTCTTTAGAATAGACTCAGTTCCCTTACTTAGCTAGTACAGCTAAGTTAAATGAATAGCATAGCTGTTTGGCTTAGGGGTTTGTATGCTGATGATCCATATCTGGAGGTACAGCCTGGGCTCATATTTAACCACTACTGGCCTCAGAATTTGTACATAAGCTGGAGGAAGTTCTTCTTGGGCCCTAGGAGTCTGTGTTTTAGCATCTATCCCAGGTAGCGCTCGTTGCATGCTTTGGAGAAAGCCTCAGAGACTAAAATCTCCATAAATCCCGAATAGAAATGTGTTTTAGTTAAGGGCATCAAACAGGTGACCTGATCACTAGAGAGCCATCCAGTTTGGTGTGGGTGAACAGAGGCAATGGGTTCCTTCTGAGCTATGTAGTCAGCCCATTGGAATCAATCCTAGTTGCAGACTTGGAATCTCAATTTGTGCCGTTGAATAGCCTTGGTCGTATTTATTACCTATGAGTTATTTTTGGCCTTTGAAAATCTATTTTCACTAATTATGTGGAAACTTCCCTCTGTTTACAGCATGCTGGTGTCATTAATGATTTATGTACCTGGGTTGATATTTTTTTTCCTTGTTAAAAACAGTCTAAGATAGGATTTGGTGGCTCAGGCCTGTAATCCCACCACTTAAAAGATAGAGGCAGGAGATTCAGGAGTTCAAGGTCATCCTCAGCTACACAAGAAATTTGGAGGCCAGACTGGACTACATGAGACATTAAAAAAAAAAAAGGTGAACTCCATGATCAGTGTAGCAGCTTATACAGGTATTCTCAGCAGCCATTGGGTATGAATCATATCAACGGTGGAGCCTGTGACATGTGTAGCATTCTGGTCAGACTCTCCAGGCACAAGCTCTCACAATTTGTTTTCTGAAAAACTGCAACATGCAAATCAGGCTTGAGACCGCTGGTTTCATGACAGCAGAAAAATCTCCGAGGCCTATTTTTACAGCTTAGGCATCCTCTTATTGCTATGGCCCAGGACCATGGGACCACTGTTGTGGTAGCCTCAGGGTGTCCCTGAAACTCTGAATTATGGGCTAGGCCACCTCTGATCAAGAGCAGTATGATGAATCGGGCCTGAGCCTGCTAAGTGGGCCTCACTTCTCACTGAGAAGCCGGATGCACCAGACTCCCAGGCAAAGAGGAGGTTTTCTCTAAGTAGCAGCTTGATCACCTCTCTGAAGAGTAAAATAAAACTACTTGGCATGTGTTCCTATCTCTTGGCCAGAAGAGCTGGTAGAAGGAGCATTTGGAAAGCTTACTATTTAAGGCTTTTGAAAGCTGGGCATGGTGGAGCAGTCCATAATCTCAGCACTTGGGACGCTGAAAGAGGATCATAAATTCCAGACAAACCTAGGGAGGTGTGTGTGTGTGTGTGTGTGTGTGTGTGTGTGTGTGTGTGTGTGTGTGTGTGTAAGACTCTTGAACTACCTTGAGACATTATTAATTAGATTGGCAATGATGAACAACAAATGTGTCTAAAAACACTTCAAATTTGAGGTAGCAGAGGCATTGGGTATTTGACACAGGGACACAGGAGTATCTGGATAACTTTAAAAACCCTCAAGGGGAAACTACATTCTAAGCTCTGTGGTTTATGCTAAATTGCCCAAAGAGTTAGTTCTATCTCCCTCCTCTTAAAACATGCGTCTGAGTTTTCCCGTAGAGTCCTACGACAGGCTGTTGAGATTCCACAAGGTTGGGGCCCCTTAGATGGTTCCTCTCTTATCTGGTCAAGTCTTGAGACACACTCGTCCAGCTCTCTACTGCGAAGGCAGGCCTGGTGTTCTCCTCTGTCTCTGCTTGTCTGTTCCGTATACACAAAGTTGGTCCACGTGGCTTCTCCGCAGCTGCTCACCAGATCACCCCATGTTGAGGCTGCTCTTCACCACTGAAGGGCAAGCGAGGCCGTGAAACTTGCAAACAAATCGAGTAGGGTTTGTTTTTCTTCTTTTTACAGTGCTCTTAAAGCATGGCCTTAGACCAAGACAAGCTTCCTCACCACTTGGGGGCTTGTTAGAAATGCAGAATCTCGAGGCTCCACCCCAGACTTTAGCAAGACTCCCAGGTGATTCTTATTTAAGCTAGGATCTGAAACATCAATCGATGTTGGCATTGATCAGCTGGACGCCACTCATCCGCGGAAATAAGGGACTCAGCCCTTTGTGCCCGCCTCGCACCCGTTCTGCTCGGTAGCAACCGAACCCCTGGGGGACATCGGAGCCAGGCGCTTGCCGAGGGCAATTTGGTGATTGGCTTGTGCGGCCACGTGACCAGCGCGGTGCCTTCCACGCGACCGGATTGGTTCTTGCGGACGCTGACGGACAGGGCCGGGGCGGGCCTGAGCCCGGTCGGAGGGGCGCCCGCGGGGGCCGGAGGGGCGAAGGCGCGAGAGCGCGAGTGCGCGTGCGCGAGCGGCGGGGCTTTCTCCGGAGCCGTCGGAGGGAGCGGGAGCGCTTCTCCCGAGGTGAGCGGAGCGGGGCGGTCCCTCGGATGCCGGGTCCTGGGGAGCGGCGGGGGATGGCTTGGGGTTCGCCTACCCCGGGAGCCCTGCACTGGGGAGGATGCAGGGCAAATTCATTCCCCAGCCTCCGTGCCTCGGTTTCCCTTTTCCCACCCTCTGATACATTCCCCCATCCTCCCCGCGGCGGCCGCGGCTGTACCGGCGGAGGCTTGCCCACCTGGCCACCTCGCCTCCGCCTTTGTTTCCCGCCCCGGAGGGATGCTGCCACCGGTCCCCTTCTCTGGGGAAGGGCGCGGGAGGCGCCGCGGGGATGCCACAGGAGCTGGACCCGGGCTGGGAAGAAGGTGGCTTCTATGCAGCGAGACCTGTCGCATGGGAGAACGAAAGGGGGAAAACGTAGTGTCACTTTGGTTCGAGCCCTTGAGACTCGAACTAATCCGCGGCTGCGAGCGAAGCGAAATTCCTAGCGCATCTGATGATCCTCCTGCCTAGATGTGGCCGCGGGCATCGCGGGGAGACCGAGCCTGTGCTGCCCCGGGAAGGGTGCCGGGTCTGTCCGCTGGACCTCGCGTCTGCCCTCACCCCAGACTTTCACCGAAACCCAACGCTCGAAGCCTGTGGAGAGAATCTGGAGATGCGTTAAAAAAGCTTAATTTTTTTGGATAGAGCAGGTCACACACACAAAAAGGGTTTCCAGAGACAGTGTAACTGATGACTGGGAAATGGTGAGGGAATTGCCTGCAGTGAACTGCAGACCAGACAGCGCGCTGAGAGGCTTCTTCAAGAAGAGACAAGAAGCGGAGTGGGGGTGGGTTCTGAGACTTTCTAGGGCTGTTCAAGAGGGCACTTATTTTCAGCCTGTCGGGAGGACAGTGTAGGAAGGGTGAAATAGGGTCTAAACGCACTTTCTAATTCTTTGAAAAAAAAGTGTATGTTTAAAAAAAAAAATTGTTTGACTGCCAGAAGAGATGAGGAGGAATCTCCGTTGAGTCCTTCTTTGGAAGAGGGAGGGTGTGTCCAGGAGCTTAACGTGGTGGTTAAATGGCATAAGCATCTCCCGAGACATGCAGCAGCAATGGCACACAGGACATCCATCGTATGGTAAAACTTAAAAGATTCCCCCGAGTTTCCTCACTAGTTAACTAGTTTGATGCACCTGGTGTTGTAAAAATGGTTCAGCTAATTGCCAGGAAGATTTTTACTGTGGGCCGGAGTTTCAGTGTAACCCATTCAGAACTTAACTGTGTTACTCTATAACCCATCCAGAGCTTACTTTTTGGAGACATTCTGATAACCGTTGTGAACCCCTTCCTTTCCCATGTGAAGTTGTTTTTCGGTTAGACATCTAGAACAACCATACCTTGTGCCCGCAAAATATTCATTTTAGTGTACTGAATTACACAAAATTCAATTAATTTACTTGCTGAAGAATTTCAATGTACTGAGCAAGTTAAAAAAAATTGTTTTTGAGAAGGCACCCCTTCCATTTGCTAGACTAGAGAACTTAAACGCAAGGTTCTCAGCTGCCCCCGGTAAACTTTTGGTGGTTTCCTGAGCTGAAACTAAAAGAGTGGGATCTGCTGTGAGGCATAGTGGGAATACCACAGATGACCCTCATGAAGCTCAAGAAGGTTCTCCTCTGATAGACTGAAACACAGCAAATTAGTGGGAATAACTTAAAAACGGAAAGCAGATATACCGTGGGGAAGGTAAAGGAACTTTGAGGACGAAGGTGGTGGTATGGTTTGAGAAAAGCATGCATTCTTTTTAAGAGGGAAAAAATTGGCATTTTTTGTGTATGAGCTACATGTAAGATATGCAGAGGTCATGGTTATTTGTTTAACCTGTGGAAATGGGGTCAGCTGTTTGAAGAAGACTGAAAAACCTCTGACTAGGGTCTAAAGGGCCGACAGAAAAATTGACAGGCATGGTTCAACTTGAGGGACACAGTGTACCTCTCTGACCTGTAAGACAGAGGCTTTATCCTCCAATTCAATAAAAGCCCCTAGTTCTGCTTTCAAGACAGCCACAAAATCATTTTCTTTCTGCTGTTTCTGTCCTCTGGGTCACAGACAAAGAGGATGAGGAACTAAGGAGACAGATTATAGTCAGACCTGCATGCCTAAGCAGCCATGCTCTTGGAGGAGGATCTGTGTCACATTGTGTAAATATAAGAGCCTTCACCCTGTCGGGTGCCTGGGGGAGTTCCTTAGGGTACACACTGTGGGATAAAGCTGGCTTCCACTGCCACAGGTGGGGGGGGGGCTGGGTGGACTCATCTGCGGGGCAAAGGGGAGCCTGGAGTGTCTGAATTCTGCCAGGCTCTGCTGCTCATTATCGTCCAGCCTGGCTGGCCTTTTCATGGCTTCCAGAGGACCTCCAGATCACATGACAGAGGCTTCTGGTGAGGTTATGGTTCTCAGCCTGTGTCAGTTATCCCTGTCACATGCTGTAGAAAAGATCTCCACTAAGTCACAAGTCTAGGGTGCCTATCTTTCGAGTTCTTAGCTCAAGTCACCTACAGGTTTCCCTCAAACAAGTTGTACCCTCCATACCAGTAGATGGCGATGTTGCCTCTGGGAATTCATGAAGAGGAGGGCTATGGAGCTGTCAGCCGCAGCGTGGATTTTGTGCAGGTTTTGGATAGGCTCTGTTAGCTCCCAGGTTAAAATATAATAATAATAAATAAAAAAGTTCTGAGCACTTAACTGTTTATATAACACAGGAATAATGGGGTGGGGTGAGAATTTATATTCTCTCTCTCTCTCTCTCTCTCTCTCTCTCTGTATGTGTGTGTGTGTTCTGATTCAGGGGGCCATAAATTGACACGCATGGTAGTATAAGCTTTAAGAGCACTTGGTATACACACTGCTGGTTACGCAGACATAATGTTGAGGTTATGAGTTGATGTTGATTCCAAGACTTCATTTCTAATTATTTGCATGCAAAGCTGGTCTCCACATAAGGCTGTCTCTATGAAGTGAACATGTGATTTTAAACCCAGTCTGTAGTCAGTAATACATGTCCTGAAGGTAGCAGTGAGAGTTTTCATGAAAACAAGGTTAAATCATTCTATCCCTGGACTGTCCACAAAAGGTAGGTCAAGTCATTTTGAATCAGTTTCTTTTAAGACTTGAAAATTTCTAACAAGTGTTCGTAGATTGTCTTAGCTAACTTTGACCTTCAAGTCTGAAGTAACCACTCAAAATTTGAACATTAAAAAACAATACTTTTAATTGGAGTTCATGTATATATCCTCCAGTTTTGAAATAACTATTTTGTTCTTTGTTACAGACTACTTTCTGAGGTGGGTTTTGTGGGCACTAAATGCAAGGGAAGTTGGTGCTTTGGCCAGCAATGGAGAAGTCACAGTGTAGGGGAAGGTTTTAGCTCGGATCCTGCCCAAGCTGTAGGACATTGCCTGTGGGAGCCATCAGCAGTCACCTGCTCTCTGTGCCGGTCATCCTCTAGCTCAGCTTCCTTTGGGTTTATTCCTGTCTCTTTAAGTGAAGCGATAAGCTGTTTTATTGGGTTCCCTCCCCCTCCCATCAGTGGCAAATCTAAAATCCCATTGGTGCAAGACAGCAGTAGTCACAAATCATTGATACTGCCTCCTTTCGTGGCCATAAATCAATCTGTCTTTGTGGCTGTTATTTGTCTCATGTTTACTGGGTTTGTCAAGTGAATGCAACTTAACTGTCTTTCCAAGTCTGAAGTTCTTTGGCTGAGTGATTCCGGAAGGTCTTTCTGAAGCCTCCAGGTAGTGCTCACATCAATAGTGTGCTCATGCTGTGGAGGCTAGGACAACTGTGAAGCTCGGAAAAGAAGATACCTCGCTAGAGCTCTGCCTCTGTAGAGACTGTGGGGCTCCCATTAGGGTCCTACAGTTCAGAGGTGGAAGAACCCCTAGGGGTGGTTAACTTAACCTTCCCATGTTTTAACTCAAACTGAGTGATTTTCCAAGCTAATAGAGCTTGATGGGAGGCAGAGAACTCAGAGGATGAGGCCCCAAGTTTGGGACTCACTGAAGCTTCCCTTCCCAGGTGCTGCCTCCCTTCCCAGGTGCTGCCTCCCTTCACCTGTGCTTAGGACACAGGAAGTGCTGTGTCTACAGGAAGTCCAGCCAGGGAAGTTAGCTGAGCAATTTCTTGATATGGGATTGAAGTCATAGCATGAGTAGCTTTGGCCTGGGCTTTTCTTTTTAGTTTTTTTGTTTTTCTCTGACTGATCCAGAGCTGGACTCTTCCTGTGTATCTTTTGGTGCTTTATTTATTGTAACTTTTTCACAATACTGTTTCCTGTAAGAAAAGACTTTTATCATCCTAGAATAGTCTTTGTACAATGCAAGGTTCTTAAATTGAGTCCATGGTCTCCCGCCCTAAGTCCGTGTGGATAAGAGAGTTTGTGTTACATAATTTACCTCTGTAATTTTATGTCTTTTGGGGTGTGTGTGTGTGTGTGTGTGTCTACAGAGTTGGGCCAGTGGGTGAGTGGAGGCTGGAAGTAGACATTGGATGTCTTTTTCAATCAAATTCCATCTTAGTTTTTGAGACAGCGTCTCTCACTGAGCCTGGAGAGAACTGATTTGGGTGTCCTGGGCAGCATTCCTAGAGACCCTTCTGACTCTGCCTCTCCAATGGCAGGAACAGAGGCATGTGCCAGCACACCTGGGTATGATTATTAACGTTCATGCTAGAGAATTGAACTCAAGTCCTCACCAGTCATTTCTCTAGCTCTTTTTAGCATATTCTGACAAGAGGGTCTTAGGCTTCAACAGAACCAGATGGATCCACGGCACAAAGGTAGGATAAGAGTGTGACTGTCTGGAGTAGCTTCTGGAAAACTGACAGGAGGGGAACTTTGGTCTTGTTCGATTGGGGCAGGTTCTCAGGCAGCCCAGGCCCCTCGTGAACTTGCTGTGTGGCCAGTGAAGTTGTGATCCTTCTGTCTTTGCCTTCCAAATGCTGGTAGTGTGTGTGTGTGTGTGTGTGTGTGTGTGTGTGTGTGTGTGTGTGTGTGTGTATGTGACTATACCAGGCTTTAAAGGGGAGAATTTGTGTGCATGCATGTGTGTGCACGAATGCACCCACACACAGATGCATGAGTGCACAGAGGCTAGGGGATAGTTTTGGGGTGTCGCTTCTCAGGAGCCATCTAGCTTGTTTTTTTGAGATAAGATCTCTCACTGGCCTGGAGTTCCAGGATTTTGCTAGGCTAGCTGGATATCAAGCCCCAGAGATCTGTCTCTGTGCACTACCACCCCGCCCGCCCGCCCCATTGCTGGTATTACATGTGTATACCACCATACCCAGCCTTTTTACGTGGGTTCTGAGGCTTACCATCTAAACCATTTCCCCAGCCCCAAAGGGAGAATTCTTAATTGATGAGCTCAAGTAATAGTAGGCGAAAGTTGGGAATGGATTGCAGAAATTAAGTTGTGAATGCTTAGGGATATTGTACCTTTGTTAAAGTAGCTTTCCAAATGAAGAGGCTAAGAAAAGCATTTTACCCACCTTTATAATAGATATGCAAGTATTGATTTCCGTTCATCATTCCTTTCTCAGTACCCTCCTAATTTCACCAGAATGCTTTCAAGTTTATGCTGCTTTACTGGCAGTGACATGCATAATAAGGGACACCCAGCTCTCGTTATCCAATTTGAGGTCCACATATTCATTACCTTTCTGATTTATGACATGATTTTTTAAGTTCTTACGAGCATATATTAAGTGTCCATAATGGATTTTATTGCAACATTCTCATATATATATATATATATATATATATATATATATATATATGTGTGTGTGTGTGTGTGTGTGTGTGTGTGTGTGTGTGTGTGTATATATATTTATCATATTTGCCCCCACTATTACCCTCTCTTGTTTCTCCTCCACTCCTGATGATCTGACCCCTTTCCTCTTCCCAGCCAATCCTTAGCTTCTATTATCATGTTTTGTGTGTGATGGGTGGGGGTGGGAAATGTGCATGCTCATGTTCAATTAGGGTTACTTAAAGGAGCATCGTTGGGAGTGTATTTACAGGAGCACATGAAACTTACTCATGGCTACACTACTGAAAAATCAGTCTCTTCCTTTCCAGTACTCATTAACTGCCTATAGAGCCTAAGGATGGGGCCTCATGAGTCCCTCACTTCTAGCAATCCTCAACTGTCTATAAATCCTTAATGAAGGGCAGGGTCTCATGGGCTCCTTCCCAATCCATGAGAGAGTGACATGAAATTTAGACACCCCCTCCCCCTTTCATTTGTGAGATGCTACATCTGGCTACATGTATATGCATTGTACTCTGAGCTCCTAGGTCCACCAGGATCTTAGAGATGTGAAACAGTTTAGGTGGTAGAACTTCTAAGACATCACTAGTTAGCTTTATTAGTACCCAAGATGCCCTGGAGCTAATTATTGTATTTCCCCTATTTACAATCCCAAGTACTTTCTTTTTCTAATTGTTTTTAAATAGGAGGGACTTGGAATTTGTATGGATTAGAAATGAAAATTCTTATTGTTACCAGAAACTTTGCAGATGCTACTTTGTGTTCCATTCCCACTTTGGACACATGAGAAGTAACTTTGTTGTTGTGGAGAATATTGCTTGACAAACCTTGGGATCTGTATCCTGTGACATCTTACTTACCCTTTATACTGCAGTGGCCCATGCTGGTAGATGCCACCTTCTGCTGCCTTTTTTGGCCATAAGGCAGTGTGATCTTTGTTTTTGCTTTAGTAGAAGAATAAATATATTTTTCCTTCTCAATTTATTGAGCGATTTCATACGCCAGAGAACAAAGTCAAATGGTTGCTTCCAAGGTCAAATTTCTGCTACTAAGTTGTTATGAACTTTGGTGGGGAAGGGGGCACCCATTGCCTCCCTGAATTTGTTTCAGAAGAAGAAAAGGAGCAGTGACCCCTTAAGTTCTAGCCTTTTTCTCAAATTGTGTGACTCTGTAAAACTGTATCAGATATCCAGACAAAGTAGATCTTTAAAATGCTACTAGTTGAAAACTCATTTAGAATCAGAAACAATGCTGATGTAAAACCTCCTTATACACGAAATCACTTTGTGTACAAAGTTTGCCAGATATTCTCTAATCTGATATCTCTCTTCTAATCACAGAGTGACCACTGAACAGCAGCATCAGGATCCCCTTAGAGCAGTGGTTCTCAAACTGTGGGTCTTGGGTCGAACAACCCTTTTATAGGGGTCAGATCCTGAATATAAGATATTTACATAACAATTCATAACAGTAGCAAAATTGTAGTTATGATGTAGCAACGAAATAATTTTATGGTTGGGAGTCACCACAACATGAAGAACTGTATTAAAGGGTCCCAGCATTAGGAAAGTTGAAAACCACTGCCCTAGGGCTTGTTAGAATTGGAGAATGTCGGGCCTTACCCATGACCTTTCAACTCAGAACCTACATTTTATCAAGATGCCCCAATAACATGCACCCCTAGAACAGTCTGAGAAATGATGCTTCCTTTCATGTGGAGTATAGGTATAAACCCTGTAAAGGAGGCATGATGTTTTCCAGAAGAGGAAGCTGAGACCCAGAGTTGTAACTAGGTCAAAGTCACTGTGATCACATCATACTGAGTGTTCTATTCTAAATCTAATGCTGTCTTAATTAGACTGGAGTGAGCCTTACCCAAGAGAGCTCACTATAAGGCCCTGGGGTTAAGTGTGACTGTATGATTTTGAGCAGCCAATAGAAAGCTAGCAGAAGTGGAAAAGTGTATACTATTGGGGGGAGGGGCAGTGTTAGTATGTGTATCTGTACCCATGTGCCTGTGTGTGCAAAACAAGTCCTTCCATGCTATTTCCATCCTTAACTCACTAGAATGGTGAGAACCCCTTAGAGGAACCTTGGAGATCATACTGTAAAGATGTAGGACTCACAGCAGCCTGAGTACTCCTGTTTCTGCATCAAATCCATCCCTCTCGACTTTCCACCTGTCTAGGATGTATATGGGAACCTCTTGTGTTGACCATGAACCATTCTAGAGGTTGGGGTCTGTGTGTTAAGCATGAAGTTAATTTTTAACAGATTCATCTGAGCAGTGGCTTTGGGGATGAAGTTGTAGATAAATTGGCCCATTGTATTCATTCATTTTTGTCTTTGGCAGGTTGCTTGGCTGTGGTCCAGCATGCAGAAGTGAGTGTGTGGTGAAAAGCAGTGGATCCGATGGGTCGCAAGGATGTAAGAGCGTTTGAAGGCTTCCACACCCTCTCCTCCAGGGTAAGGCAAATGCATTCCCTGTTTGCTGGCTTTGCTGAATCATAGATGCTCTTGTCTGACTCTTCTTGGAGTCAGTGCAATGGGATGCTCTGTCTCTGAAAGGCTTCTAAAGCTTTCTTTATTCAAATCATGGACTCAAATCAACAAATATGAGAAATGGTGACCAAGGGATGGGACTGAGTCCTGTGTGTGTGGAGATATCTCTACATAGGGTTGTTGAGTGAGTTTGTGTGGGGTGTGATTTGTACAAGCAGGCTTGTCGAGGCTTCCCTTTTTCCTGAAGTCATATCACATTGCTAATAGTCTGGTCAGATGTTCCTTCCTACCATCCTCCTCCTCCTTCATGAATCATTCACTGAACTTCTCCTGATCTCTCTGTTCATGAAGGAAATATCTGGTCAGAGCTGAAGTCTCTGGTGTGGTGGCCCATAGCAGCTTAAAGCACAGTGTTCTGCCCACACCATAGCTTCCCATCTGTTGTCTCTGGAAGCCACATACCCAGCTACTGAGCTGTGGGTAGTTGCTGGTAGATTGTATGTGACTACTGGGAACTTGGTAACCAAACCCTGTTTGGAGTTTGGTTTGTGGCAAAAAAAAATTCAAGACTAGTAGGACATAGTGTTTGGTGAGCTCTTCTGAGTCTAAGTGGAGGTCCAGGGAGGAAAGAATGCCACTTCTTTTCTTTGTTCTCCAACTTCTGCACTTGAACCTCAAACATATTCTTTGAAGAAGAAATCGTGACTGATACTATCCCAGGCAGAGCTGAGAATGGTTAGAGAAGGCCAGGAGTGAGTGGTGGTGGGATTTTTTTTCCAGCTTTAACTAAGAGGGAGGACTGTTTTCAGCCAGTGAGTTCCGAGTGTCATGAGACCTTGCTAGACTGAGGGCACCCGGAAAGGCTACTTGTACATCTGTGCCTCATGTGGCTTGCTAATGAGTACAATTTACTGAACAATATAGACGATTAAGGGCTGCAGGTCCCTGGAGATTCCCGTAAGTGTGCATCATTGCTGCTCGTGAGTGACGCACATGCTCAGTGGGGAGATGCAGCTATGAGGCAGGCCATCTACAGAAGAGTCCAGGGACCAGCTGGCACAGACCTCAGCCCGGAGTCTAGAGGTTGCTCATGAGAGGAGTGTTCCTTGTTAAATTTCATCCCTAAACGAATTTTCCTTAACATGGGGCTACTCTCCTTTTTTTTTTTGCCCCCCGAGACAGGATTTCTCTGTGTAGCTTTGGAGCCTTTCCTGGAACCCAGGCTGGCCTTGAACTCACAGAGATCCGCCTGCCTCTGCCTCCCGAGTGTTGGGATTAAAGGCGTGGGCCACTGCAGCCTGGCTTGCTACTCTCCTTTTTATCTGTGGCTCTCATGTAGCCTCTATTTTAAATGTATCTAAGAAGTATTTTACATCAAAAATAGCAATTGACTGGCATGTTTCTGTGAAAATATTGTACGAGGGTCAAATTGTGGAGGTGGCCATTCTTTAACCATTGATAAAGGGCCAAAGAAAGTGGTGTAAGAGTTACCAGTGCACCAGGCAGTACTGATTTCAATGAGGCAGTTCTTGTGTGAGCCATTGCTATGCATTGTAGGATGTATAGTGTGCCCTTGCCCTTAACCTCAGACCACTAAATGCCAGTAGCTCCCGAAGCAATCATGACCGTCAAAAAGGTCTCTGGGTATTGTTAAATGTTTCCTGGTAGATAAAATTGCCACAGCTGAAGGAATACAGTGATTTAATCTTGTTCTGAATTTCTCTAGGGCTGTGTTTTACTTTACTTAATTCTTTTTTTCCTCCCAGTTTTCTTCCCTGTAAAATAGGTACACCATAGTATCTCAGCCTGAGGAGGCAAGGAACATAGTACTGTGTAGTTGATCAGGGTTTCTACAAATACTAAGTGGTAACTGTCTCCCAGATACTTAGGGCCCAAGCATCCCTCCTGATCATCATGATGTCAGTAAAAAAGGGGACAACGGAAGTTAAAGAATGAAGTTTAGTAGTGTGCACAGTCATGTGCAGTCCGAGATTCTGAGTTCATTTGAAGGTATGCTCTAGCTCACTGCAGCAATATATTCTGGGTGAAAGCTTTTCCTTTGCAAAGTTAAGGGCCAACAGAGGGCCACAAGGCAAAAAGATGGCCGTTCTAAAGAGTACTCATGGAAATTGCAACCATCAGGGTGACTGCTTAATGTGAAAATGACTCACGTCTAATTAGACCAAAGGACAGAGAGAGATTAGACCAAAGGACAGAGAAAGGTAACCGCCAAAAACAAAAATCTCTTCCCGAGTGACTGACAATCCAGACCAATTTTTGTGAGTCATATAAAGATAGAGACTGCTTAGAAAAACTCACAATTGCTCTAGAGCTTTTACACTTCTTTCCTTTTTTTTCTTTGAGAATATGGAATAGGAAAACAGACTTTTTCAATGTACACCCTCGGAGTGACAAATAACATGTTTTCATAAGACACGTGTCCTTTGGTATTTTCCAATGTTGTGTCTTGGAACAGTAAAAGGAGGCCATAATTCTGAACTAATATGAAATATCCTACATTATTTTCACAAAGAGCCTCAGTCGCACGACAGGACATGGCCACTGCAGGGATTAGATGTAAACTGTTGAGGCTTCTTTTGAGTTCTCTTTTCTGTGTTTCTGCTTCATGAAAGATTTGCCCCTGTTCTCTACCTTGGATCTAATGTATGGGGAGTCCATTGTAGACAGTCTGGTTTCTCTGGCTTTTGGTGTGTGTGTGTGTGTGTGTGTGTGTGTGTGTGTGTGTGTGTGTGTGTGTGTGTGTGTGTAAGAGTGCTTGGCTAAGAGTCTGAGTACCTTGAAGAATGAGGCTCTTCCATGACCAGAGGTGACAAGACAGTGCTTCTCTTGGTAGGAGTAGGCCAATGTTTGACGTTGATATTTTTCTAGTGCTTCTCAAAATTCTGTCTCCAGGCCAGGCATGAGGAGTGCTGGGTTTCTTACTTCCTGTTCCAAATCTCTCAGAGCGGACCTCGTGATCTAGTTTAACAAGGCCCCAAGGTGCCTGCTGGAGAATCATAGTTCTTTTGCATGGCTTGTGATATGTCCTGGCGTTTTCCATGGTGTCTTTGTGTCTGTGGTGGGGAAGGCATAGAGAAAGCATTTTTCTAAGCCCTCAGAATAGACATAGGATTTTCTCATGCTGATATCTTGTGTCATTTTCCCAAAGTCGTCTAAACTTTGTCCCAATAGTAGCCACTAGCCATGTGTGACTATTTAAATTATTTTGATTTATATAATTCAGGTCTTCATTTGATCTTATCACATTTCAAGTACCCTATAGCCACATGATTTCTGGCTGCTGTCTTAGATAGTACAGATATAGAACACATCCATCATTGAAGAACATTCTACTGGACACTACTCTTTATATCATAAGACTCCCAGTGTGTTAGAAGGCCGCATTTGTAGTGACCATGTACTCTTGTTGTAAAAAGATGTCAATTTATGTAGAACAGAGTTCTTCTAGAACAGGTCTATCCTAGTAAGACATTTGTGTCTTGCTGAATTTTTTAATGATGCTGCAATATTTGCCTGCTACAGGCAGTGCCGTGGTCTGTCCCTCTGACATGATAGAATGCACCAACTCTAAAATATTTGCCCTCTAGTCTGGGGCTGCTGAGCTGTCTCCGTCCACTTTTCCCCTTCTCCTGACCCTCAGCAGTGAGGCTTGTTTGTACAGCATGCCTTTTTTAAGATTGCCTAGAGCTCTACAAAGAGTCTAGAAGAAGCGAGAAGAGAATTTTCACCTCTTCTTCTTCTAAGCCTGGACTTGGCTCAGAAAAGTGTTTCACAAGAGGGTCTTCATTCACAAGCCTAACTTCCGAGGAGTAACTCCTTGAAGGAATCCCTAATTTTCCACCGATCTATTACAGCACCGATTTCATGATTAAGCCCTTTAGTAACACAGAAGATTTTTCTGCTGATATTATCTATTAATATTACCAATAGTAGTTGCTCAGAAATTTTCATTTGAACAAATGAAAAGATAGGGAAATAAAGACACATTTTAAGGGACGTTGTTTAAAGCCTACTGAGCCCAAGGTTGTTTTGCATGGTAGAGGGAATTCTAGTGAGAGGTTTGTGTGCCTTTAGGAGGATGGCTGGAAGGAAAGGAAGAGGAGGCTGGGGGTGGAATCGATCCTCTGGATGATTCACTTGGTGGTGGTGGTGGTGGTGAGACCGGGGTGGTGGGGAGGAGGACACAATGCTTGTTTTTCTCCTCCTTTGTGTTTTTGTTTTTTCGAGACAGGATTTCACTGTGTACCTCTGGCTGTCCTGGAACTCACTCTATAGCTCAGGCTGGTCTCAAACTCACAAAGATTTTTTTCAAAAGACTTTTTTGAGTGGTCTTAGAAGCAAAATGTAGAAAGGAAAATAGAAAGATCTTCTGTATCCCTCCCCTTCCTACATATGCTTGTCTGTCCCTGTTGCTACCATCCCCCACTAGATTGGCATTTCTGTTACCTTCTGTGAACCTGTATTTACATCATAATTACCCCAAGACAATGGTTTACCTAAGAGTGCAATCTGGGCCGGGCGGTGGTGGCGCATGCCTTTAATCCCAGCACTCGGGAGGCAGAGGCAGGTGGATCTTTGTGAGTTCGAGGCCAGCCTGGTCTCCAAAGCGAGTTCCAGGAAAGGCGCAAAGCTACACAGAGAAACCCTGTCTCGAAAAAACAAAACAAAACAAAACAAAAAACAAAAAAAAAAAAAAAGAGTGCAATCTGGGAGCTGTACATTCCTTGGATTTGGACTAATACATGACGACACATGTTCACCATTATAATCACAGACATTATTTTTCTCTAAAACCCCTCTGTGTCCTGTTTAGTCATATCTCCTTTTGCTCCTCCACCCCTAAACTACTAGAAGCCATTAATCTTCTTATGGCCACAGTTTTGTTTTTCATGCAGTTGGAGTCACACGATAGGTAACCCTTTGAAATGACTTCTTTCACTCAG